ACCAAAAGATGATATCTAAAGTTAAAACATATAAAAACAATTGAGCCAGCAAAAGACAAGAAACAGTTTAAAAACTGCAGCACCATCACAGTTCTTATATCTAATCCTCCTCAAGGTTGATAGAATCTTTAAATTTCCCATACAGAATCTTCTTCAGCTCGGCCATCTGAGCAATTATGGACTCCCTTTCCTCTTCAAGCTTCTCCAAATTCTTGCCCGTCACCTCCTTCATATCTTCAATCCTGCTCTCCACTTCATCTTTGGGCACGTGAACAAATACCTCACCTATTTGGAACCGCACAATCTCCTCATCAGTAAGGATCAGCTCATTGCTTGCATCCTCGAGACTTTCATTGTTTTCCTGATCAAATTAGACAAGAGCAGCACGTTTTGGATCAACATATGATACAGGTCGAATCAAATAATGAAGTTTGGAGGCAAGTGTCGGTCATTTGGTCATATAGCTGGAATTGCCAGCCACAATTTGTACGAGAATAAGGTTAGTTACAAAACAAAAATAACCCGTTTAGTTTATAGTATAACCAGATCAAACAAGACGTGAAAAGAATCCTTCAACATAAGGAACCTACGTTATTACCCTTCTGTGCTTATCCATGCAATAAAAGTAAGATTGCCCAACACCCAAACTGTACAATAGATATTGACCACAAAAAAAAGTGTGCCCTTTCGGTAGCTATTGTCTGACGATCACTCATTCAACCAGACAAGCAAAACACCAGAACCCATAGGACAAGTATCATTGATATGGAGATCCAACTACATCTCATGGCCACAACTCACTTTTTATAAGTACGAAAGTTTACAATTTCACATTAAAACCAAGGTACTGTATTGCACAATCCCTTCCCTCCCACAAAACAAAGCAGCACTTCTTGGGATGAGTAAAAGGCAGAAAAACTAAGAAGAAAGCATAATTCTTGTCAATCAATAAACTAATTTGGTCGTGTGCATAGTTTTGTACATTTGGGAGTAGGTAAAAGTTCCTGAACATTATAACTGCAAACAAACAAGAAAGTAGACCTCATTGTTCTCTGTCATGAGATGAATAATCTTGCCAATAATATTTAGCCTTTAGTATTCAGCTTTGGGACAAGCAAAATATATAGCGACTATAGTTTAATCTCTGAACGAAAGTTTGAATAAATTTCAGACTGAACGAACATCCCTAGATAGTTATCCAAATATCTTCAAGAACAATATGAACGAGCACTTCCACGGCCAGGGCAAAAACATGCAAATGCAGCTATTTCGTTCAGGTTCTCAGAATTCACTACACTATTCTCAGTGGCGATTCTGATTCTAGTATTTCGCATAGTAACATATAGTATTAATCAAATTCCAAGAAAATCGAGAAAATGGTATCATCTCATCAGATGATGCAGGCAACAATCTTGGATGCTAAATTTGGACCCATTCTCTCAACAATCCTCCAATTTATTGGGTAAATTAAAGATCCTATCTTCTTTTCAGTTAAATAAAATCTCAACTTTAGCAACAAAACACCAACCATCAACTGAAAAACCCTAAAATTTTCACAGGTGTTGGCAAACCGCGCTCTTATCGATCCATTCACTCTCCGTCAGAAAAATC